TTCGGTTTTAGGGTTTATGGGGTGTATTATTGTTTAGGGCTTACCTTGGTGGGGCCTCGGGGCCCCTCCTCTGTGCAGCACTCCGCCGAAAAACCACAGAGCCCAACCCTGAGCCCCTCAATCCGCAACGAGCTATCAAGATCGAGGTTTGAGCCATGAGAACTACGATCTTGAGAAAAGCTTAGGGCATATTACCACGCCCGTAGAGCGATGGTTATACTAGAGCGACAGTCACATTAAGCATAAATTAATGGCAGCATCAAGAAGGCACATACGGGGCACACACACACACACAAGTACACTGAGGTGGATTAGGGCGATTAGGGTAGAGCTTCTGGTCTTGAAGTTTGAGCCTTTGACAAACTCAAAGAGGCTGTACAGGGATTTTGGCTTCAGAAAACCGGTCGGGAACTGCCTTGTTGAGGCTGCAGCTCTGTGGCCCTGAAGCATCAACCCTGCATGCATGGAGGTTCGGGTTTAGGGTCTAGGGTTTAGGATGGTTTAGGGTTTAGGGTTTAGGATGGTTTAGGGTTTTGGAGGGATAAGAAGTTAGGTTTAGAAGGACCCCCGGGGAGTAGGTACAAGCAATGTCGACCGGGCTTGTAACGGTAGTTGCTTCAACCCCTTGGATCTTTTCCTAAGCCCTAAAACACTAGAACTCCGTACTGCAGCCCTCAGAAGCACTCGCATCCGCTTTTCCTTTATAGGTATAATTACCCAAACCGCTCAAAGCCTAAACCCTGCAACGGCGACACCCGGTAACACCACCGGAGCCCCTATACACCCCAAAACTGTTAACATGCCTAAACGCAAACCCGACCGCCGAACCCTCTCCTGCGTTTTTTTCTGTTCCTTTGAGAACCCCTTCAAAGCCCCTTTCTTGAGCCTGTCAGAAAGTCCCATATATAGTACCTTAGCGAGACATTGACCCTCAGGCTGAAAACGCCAGAAGTCTCACTTACTATAATCTATGTGCCTGAAACCCTGATTCGATAAGAGTCTCAAAGTCTCACAGAGTCTTGGAATCAGCAACTCACCCGAAAGCGAAAACCCGAAGCCCCACAGCCGCCCAAAATTCTGTTTCGTTGAGGAACCCCTTGCAAATGGTTGTTTCGATTTAAAGGTTTTTGAGTTGGACACCTGGAAAATTAGGGTTAGCGATCCATTGAAGCAATCCGCAAGTGTCAACCCTAGCCATGAACCCTGCGACAGACAACCCAGCATCCTAAACCCTGCATGCTTTAGCTTTAGTAACTTCAGTAGGGTTTGGGGCCAGGTCTAGGGTTAAGAGAGTAACCCACAGCCCAACAAAGAAAAACCCGCAACCCACCACCTAAACCCTAAACCACAAACCCTAAACCCTATAAACCCTAAATCCTTAATCCTAAACCC